CTTAATAGAGAACCTAGGTTATTTACGAAGTAGTTCTATTTTGACATAGTAATTTTTAATCTTCCAGGAATAACATCACGCGACATAAAATTTAATATGGGAATTGATATACCCTTGAATGAAGAATTTTGTTACAGAAGTTAACAATCGCCTTAAGCTACGTAAGGCAAATATACACACAAAAGGAATTCCGTGTATATTGCTTCAGTGGTGTTTATAAAAACGGCAAATGCGTTACATATATAGTTTTACCGGATGGTTGAAGAACAAAGGAGAAAAAATCCGATTATCATTTAAATTATTACTAGCCTATACAAATTCAACATCAATCTCACTATGGAAAACTGCCATTCCAAGTTATGTAGAGAAGTTATGTAGAGCCAACAGCACACTGCCGTCTCCACAGAGTGTGTATCTTAACTATATATTGTATAATCGGCGGAAAGGACTTCCGAATTAAAGCTTTTAAAATTTCGATAGAAAATCATTAATGCAAAGCATTTTTTATGTTGCTTTTTATCAATAGACACAGCAAAAGAAATAATAGTTACAATTGTGTTGAGAGGTTTATTGTGAGCGACAAAAGTTCTTACAAAAGCAACTTAGGGCTGGAAATTTTAAGAAAATAAAATTTCCAAATGTAATTGCGAAACAGATATATTAAATGAGATATCTTTTCATAGTAGTTAAATCTTGGTAAGAGCACAACTCCATGTATATTTGTGTTCAACATGTCTATTGAAATTTTTAAGAGGTATAGACAAAAACACTAACGTATTTAGCCCAACACAATTAATGGTTTGAGCTGCACGGTGTTATGACCGCTCTCCTATATGCAAAAATTTAAAAAGTCTAATAATAATAATAATACAAGTAAATTTTAATCGGACGGGAGCGCTTTTGAACTTTCTTCCATATCAACGTGTTCACAAAAAATAAGCCTTTGTATGAGAATAACCTTTTGTTTGTACAATTTTATGATTGCAATTTGTTCATATACACTTGTTTGTGCGTTTAGGCCACCTAAGTCAAGATTTGGGGATTCTTCCCAGACCTCTTGAAAGATAAGCGGATATTTGGTGAAATAGAGAAAATTAATAATACCAGCATTGAATCATGGTTTAGCATCTCTCCTACATAAAGGTTCCTATCAAAAGTAAATATATATATGGTAATCAGGTAAGTTTTCTATAGGGAAAATATGTAATTTATTTATGTTACCAGGAAAATAAGTGAAGAAAATAAATAAAATGTATTGCGCGAAATGGTGTAGAAAACGTACCTAAGAGTCGGCTTTATCCCGCTATAATGTTTTTACTTGGTTTTAACATTGTTTATTAGATATTAAGCATTTCGAGTTATTCCTAACGATATTTTTATCTTTCCCTTCTACAGCAATCTTGTAAGTCTTCCACATTAGCTAACAAACGTATCGTCCTTATCGCAATTCAAAAAAAAAAATTTAATATCACTTGCTTGTGCCAAAAAGAGAAAATATTTTTTTGCTCCGGCCGTCACACCACAAAATCCTCATAAGCATACAGATCTGCTAAGAAATGTAACGTAATTTTTGTAGTTTATCAGGTATTACAGTTAGTTGACGTTATTAGATTTCGAACATCATCTCATACTCTTTATGTATCTAACAGATCGAATTCCATTTGTTCAGAAATATTATTTCATTTGAACAGTTAAAACAGATAGAAACACAAATATAGTCTGTTTTTTATTGCTATCGGACTTCCAGAAATATCGATCGTTAATATTTGCTTCGGACGGAAATCAGCGAAAATTCTAGTCCTGTGTTAATTTGATAGCCTTAAGGGCCAACATTCAATAAACTTTCCCATAAAGAAAGTGATAAATTACAACAAGACTATAACTGAGTTGCAGAATAAATAAATGAATAAATTAAAAAGAAAAGGGGTGCACAGTAGGCCATCACGCTATGGTACTGCCTGTATTGAATATCCCAGAGATACGCATTTAAACACATACATATTAATGAAAACTGTTCACCAAAACCTTGTACCTAATCGTCGGTCTGAAATTGATGCGAATTAGCATATATCCAATACGAAATTTATATTCTATTTGTACACAATTAACTCAAAACCAATAAGTGTATTGTATAGTAGGTTATGTCATCTCCAGCTTCAATTTTGACCATCACTGCGTCACATCTCTCTGGAAACGTCAGTCTGTATTCATGCCTACCGCCGAAAAATCATTTCGATCAGCATTTAGATTCTTAGTTAAGCTGTCTTTTTTCGACAGCCCTCTCAAACTCACAACGTCTGAAATGGACAATTGAAGGTTGTTCCAAATTTATTGATATAAGAAACTATCGAGTAAGAATTGAAAATTTGACTACATATTCTTAAATAAACTATTACATCTACACAGCATACAGGATATTTAATAACAGTTTGAATGCGGAAACACTAGTAGTTGTGGTAAAAAGCGTGCAGCTTATAGAACGCAAGGGTCTTCAGTGACAATGCTTATCAGTGCTAGCGTACGAAGATATATTGATAACCAAATTTCCTCTGATGTTAGTCAACCGGCATTACCATCAAGGTTTAAGTCTCTTAGAGAAGTAGTTGAAGGCGATGAAAATAAAAAATAACCTCTATTTTG